AATCGAAAGGTCGGCTTCCTGAGTCGACATCTCAAACTATGGTATGTAAGTGGTAATAATTCCCGAGCATTAGAGAACAGATTGGCTTGTTTGGAATTTAATGCTTTTCATAAACTAGAATCTCATAAACTATTTGTCTCTGGAATCATCTGTGATATGAACTTGTGTAGTGGTTTCTCTAGAAATTATTTAACGTTATCTAAAATTAAACATTTAGTCACCTTTATTGTATATGACCAAATTAATTAGTTACACTATGAAGTTTTTAAGAAGGATTCATTTGGGTTCTTTTGCCCCAGTCCGCCTGTGTGTGGACAATATAACCAATTATCTATTATTAAGTTCATGATATTTCGTGAATACACCAACTGCATAACACCGTCTCTGACCACAAACCCAAACGGGTTGTTTCTCTATTCGCTCACAGTCTTAAAACAACATTTCATGGTCTGTTGACTGTTGATTTCGCAATGATAAACCACCTAAACGGTCCATCCCTTGTGTCAGGTGTTAATTAGAGGGTACCATTAAAGAATGTATTCTACTACAATAAGCCTATTATTCCCTGGCAAGGGTTCACTTTATGACATGTAATAAACCATGGCCAGTCAGTCAGTGGGTCCGGTAAACTTTTATTTAATCAATGATGTAACGTAGGTCTATGTAATTTGTGTTTATGCAAACCGTGACAGGTCAAAAACTATTTGCGCTTTTGTGGATAATAAGTAAACCATACACTTAAAACTGTATTTTGAAAATGCTAGCCATATCAGGGCAAATATGACAGTTAATGCCAATTTTGACACCTAGAACAACAAGGATGCAGACGAGAGAAGTTATACCAGGAATAATCTACAACGTCTTATAGTCTCCCTGGTTATAGTTGATCGCATAGGAGGACGAATACACTCCTAGGAGGACGAATACACAGTCTATACACTCACGGGGATCCTTGGGAAAAGGAGAAACTGAAAGAAGTAGTGGTAAAATCCTTCCTAATTTCCAAAGATTTCCAAGCCTTGGAAATATCATCTTTCCAATTTTGGAAATTTTGAAATATCATCTTCCAAATTGGAAATTTTGGAAATCACCATTTTTATATCCCAGTTCCTATATAACAGCATGCAACACATTATCGAATCTGGACTAGACAAACCAGTGAGTGATATTATGATAGACATCCCACACCGTTGCCTACGACGACAAGAAAACACCCAACTGACCCACTGGGTTGCTTCCAAACTTTAATCAGAGGTTGTGGGTTTTAATCAGTTTTAGCTGAGGTACTGAATGAGGTATTAGGTTTGGATGCTAGTAGTTTATAGCTCGTGTTGTGGCGCTGCTCAATTGATGTGAACATTCCTTCCAACTCAATTACGTGTCCACTATCCTGTGTGGCTGAGGATACGATACGACATTGTCTAGTCAAGCTGGGAGGGTGTCCTGGCAAATTTGTGGAAAAACACGTATCGAATAAACTCGAATACACATGAAACTGCATGCTTCCTTATTTTATTATAAATGATCGACATACATGTACTATATTCATCAGACTATACATAAGATAACACACTTCTGGCTGGTAGGTGACACTCACTGTCACTGTAGATAAGAAGTAGATGACATTTACTCTGTGTCAGTGGTCACTGGGGGACAGGTCCACGTCATCAGTAACATGTCATCAATGGCCTAAAAGTAGACTGGGGAGAATTTAGTCTTCTTATCTGCAGTGAGGTAAATACATTGTCATGAAACAGACGAGGACCAGAATCACTGATGGGCAGGCCAGATATATGTGTTAAGATAATTATGTTGAAGAACTTTTCAAATTGGTTATGGGGATAATTCGTTTATTTCATCAGAAAACCCACCACGTATTTCCTGTCCACTAAGACTACTATATAACACACTGATTGATACTGCTGTAACCACTTTCAATCTCTTAACAACAATTAATCAACCAATTATTAACGCAACATGTGCCTAATGTTCACTCCAGACAAAATAAACACGTCTAGCATAAAGTATGGTTTTGTGGTCTTCAGTTGAGGCTCAGCTTTGTGAGGACAGCAATAACAGCAAGCATCCATATGTGTACCGATAGCTTAGCAGCACCAGATGCTGAAATAAAGTACATTCATGTCAGTGTTTTGCTTGTACCATCTGTAGATTGTCATTGATACAGGCAACAATAATCTTGTCAGTACTTTATGAAATATAACATGTTTTCATGTAAGTATTTCTAAAGGCGTGTTGAAACACAGTTCACCTCTTTCATTACCCATTTCGCTAAAACCTGTACTCAAAGTAATCATATTCCACCCAATACCATTCAGTCATGAAATCAGATTCAGAAGGAAACAAAACAGTTTTCACTCTGTATTCATTTCATGTGACGTTTTCTTAAGGATCGTTGAAAAATATTCCTTTATCACTTGAAGATCGTCGGAACCAAAAGAGTTAACGTGATACGCTGTCACGGGATAATACTACATAGCGATATATTTTACTGAAGTATATTGAGCAATACGGAAATCTTCCTTTCTAGTTAACGAGGTTTGAATCAAACGGATTTGAGAAACAATATTGAAACAGGACAGATTTCACATCAGTCAAATCTATTTTTATGCACTTTATTTAAAAGTCCATCCAACTGCAACCTTGGATTGATGTGCCCCATGTACGCACATGGAACCATAAACGAACGTGTGACAGAGTATTGTACTCATCATGATATAAATGATTTCACTAATAAATAAAACATTCTTTGATTCTATCGATTACGTTTAAATAGCCTGTTGTTCATCGTCTAATGCATCTAACAATATCAAGAGAAAACCTATATTCCACATTATCGGCCACCCAATACCATTCACTCATGAAATCAGATTCAGAAGAAACAAAACCTTTTTCACTATGGAACCAAATCGGTTAACGTGATACGCTGTCACGGGGTACATAATATTTACATATATATTTTACTGAAGCATATTGAGCAAAACAAAAATCTTCCTTTCTATTTAACGAGGTTTGAATGAAACGGATTGGAGAGACAACATTGAAACAGGACAAATATCACACCAATAAAATCTACTTTTATGCTATTTATTCAAAGGTCTATCCTGCTGCAACCTATGACACTGGTAGCAGTGATGTGCCTCATGTACGCATATGGAACCATACCCATACGTGTGACAGAGTATTGTATTCATCATGATATACATGATAAATAATAGATTCTTTGATTCTATCGATTACGTTTAGATACCTGATGCGGTTCCTCGTCCCGTGGATCTAACAATAACAAGAGAGAACCTACCGTTTTCACATCTGTCTCCATCCCAGCCAGGTTTACATGTACACTCAATGGAGTCGTCTTCAACTTCACACGTTCCTTCATTCTGGCATGGGTTGTCGTCACAGGAAGCTTTTATAAATACAAAGTTTACTGATGTCACATAATGCACGATACCATTTGGTTATATACATCTGCATTATTTACTGAGCATGTTGGTGAACAATTTAGCTTTTTTTCTATAGTCAAAACAATTTTGATACGCACAATTTGACAGTATTGATGTATATAATATAGGAAAAATCATTATCTGCTATCAATCATTTCAATGCGGTTTCTATTCCGTTTTATACCGTTAATGATCAGAACGTGGAACCACTAGAACAGTTTCACGAAACGTACGCTATGAGAAAGGACTATAAAGGAGCACCTTAGACGATGCATAGTGAAATAATTTTAGGAGTAACATAGAAAAAACAGATGTAGCTGAAAAGAAGCTATCAATAAAAACATAGATGTCATGACGTTGATATATTTTCATCACTGTCCATGATTGATGATGTTATCATTTGGAAAATCAGAAAATAAACGACAAACAATCAGGCCCTTGATTTGTAGAACACACTGTAGAGGTCTGCTGCAGATGTGCATTCAGATGCTACGGTATTGGTGCATTCTACCCTAATCATCAAAACATAAAAGGACCTACCGCGTTCACATCTATCTCCACCCCAACCAGGTTTACACGTGCAGACAATAGAGGCGCTTTCAACTTCGCAGGTTCCTTCATTCTGGCATGGGTTGTTGTCACAGGAAACTGTCAGAAATACAAAGTTTACTGATATCACATAATGTTTGATTTCTTAGTGCAAGGATAAACAACAAACAAACAAAACAAAACTGAGCATGTTGAATGAAACTTAGTTTAACTATTTTCTAAACACGACACAAGTTTTGTATCCATGAACATTTAGTTTTCGGAACCTAAAGCAAGCTCTCTAGATTTGATGACGTTAAATGTATTTAGAAGTCAGATAAATCAGTAAATGATAGACATCCCGGGTAGACTCATACCTAAATGAAACCAAATGTATTCGAAATACAATAATATACTAAACGCATTTGACGACATAAATGCATCCATTTCGAATATTTAAATTTTACTAAATATGTTGTTCCCAGGAATGGATAAATGCTTCCGGAACGCTATGAGACATATAAAGTGATTATTTTGATCTATTTCTCAAATAATTATATAGTAACATTGGCTAAGTATTATGTGTGGTCATGTACATGAATGCCTGCTAAGAATTGTAGACCGAATAATAACACCAGACTGCCTTGCATCAGAGCAACCATGAAACATAATTTTGGTTAATTTGGTTCGTAACGCTGTCTTTATTTAGAACATGAAAGAAAAACGATTAAGGTATTTGAAATAAGATAATAGATTAAAAGCAGTTGGGAACATATATACATATGTTCCCACTATTTCAGCTCTTCTCACACATTTAGTTTCCAAGATAGGATATCTGCATCTGGAACGCTGTTGGACAGATATAGTGGTTATTCAAATCTAGTCCTCATAAATCTATAGAGTAGCATTATGTGCAGCTGTAAAGACGAATGCCTGGAAGGAATTGCAGAGTATATAATAACATCAGATTGCCTGATATAAAACATATGGTGATCTATATTATCATACCTTTATTGCATGTGTCGCCTCCATAACCTAGGGCGCAGTCACAAACATACTGGCCACTGCTTTTGTCACAGGTTCCACCACTGAGACAACCTGCATCATCCGTGCATAGTGGCGCTGTAACAAGGAATCATGCATATTAGTTTAAATTGAGCATTTGGTTGAAATTGCACCTACACGCTTTTACCAGTAAAACCACTGAACCAGACAAACAAGTAGTTAAACCGACTACAACCGAATCTATGACATAGGATTAGTTGTTGCTATATTTCTACTGCCAATGTCTACCCCCTGTAAAGAAATAACTTTTTGTCCGTGACTAAGTCACATACAAATAATTCAAAAGAACGTCTCTTGGAAGGATCTACATTAAGTCTTTGGCCACATATACGTTAAGTGTTGTCACTACCTCATGGGTAGAAATATATACCAGGCGACGTTCATATATACTTCCCATCAAAAGTTTAGACTCACTAGTGTAAATATAGCCACTTACTTCAGGGACATGTTCTAAACTACATTTTGCAAAATATTCCAAAATAAAGGTACTGTTTACACATGAACTGATCTTTTGTAAAACAAATTCATAACGTTGAAAGGATTATTGCCATGAGTTCAATAAATGATAAAAGTTGGCGAATTCTTAACAAAACGTTTACAGCAAAACGCAGCTGTTCACATGCACGATATTTGCACATGTTTTTCAGCAATTTAATGCATGATCCTCGTGCAATTCATCTGCATATGGTTTGCAGTTGGTTCCCCCAAGTTAGTGGAGAAATCAGTCTTCGATGTAACCATATATTTATATATACATAACATATAGTGAGTGTTTTAAGTGTGTCTAAACTGTTGATGGGAAGTATATATCAAGAGTCGGGGTATGTTATTCACGGTAATATGACTGCTAACTGTCATAACGATAATATTGTTTTTTATAATTTCATTAAAATCGTCCCTCCAAAAGGGAACCGTAATCATTTTCTTTAAAGCAGTAGTTAGTTTCTCTGTTTGTTGTACCAGCAAAGTTTCAGCTGTATACTGAATGTCTGTAAATACGGAGGCCTTGATCAGACAGTCCATTGATTGACATCTTCAGCTTGGGCGCAAAGTCCGGCGGGTTTAGTCTCTATTCGCCTACATCTCAATTTGCCTACATCCCATTTCGCATACAAAAACAATGTAGGATAATTGGGATTAGAAAATGCACCCCTACTCTTATAATGAACCTGACTCACTGGTCAGTGCCATACTAATCAGGTAAATCTTCAAAATTATCCTTGCTTATCTTTAAATTACTTTTTAACGGCACACATTTTGGAAAAAGTAAGCATAAATGGATAATGAACACTAAAAATACTTTTGGCGAAATTGGACTTGGTTATATCTGGAATTCCCAAAAAATTAACATTTGAATAAACTAAAAATTACAGTTAAATGTAAACTAGAAGATGCGTATAAGCAAGTGTGGTTGTCTACGGTAGAACATTCATCAAAAGGTATGTTATATTGCTCCTTATCTAACATGGATTTAAGTTTTAGAAAATATTGGGATATTTTAAGTGATAATTGTTCAAAGGCATTGTTACGTTATAAAAAAGCAAATCGTAATTAACCCATTGAAACAGGCCACTGGAGCTATATTCAAAAACGTGATAGAATGTGTGAACTTTGTAATGGTAACGACATTGGCGATGAATTTTATTATTTATTTATTTATTTATTTGTTCTCACTCTATAAATGCAAGAGTTAAATATTTTAAGCCATATTTTTATTCCAAACCAAATTTGCATAAAATGTATCCAGTATTCAATAACAATAAGATAGGGATTCTTAGAAAACTCTCTTTTGTCTGTAATATTATTATAAATGTTTTATTTAAGAATCTTCGGTAAGAATACTCCATCTAAATATTTCTATTATCTTTATGCAATCTATTTGCGGATAGAGTTGCAATCTATCTATATATATAATGCATTACTTATTCATCTGTATATATGAAATACTCGACTGCACACTCATTGTATATAACTATATGGATATATTTAATTGTAACACATATGTAACCTCATATGCCGCTGTCTGCGGCCTGAGTTGAAATATAGTTCAGTTCAGTTCAGTAAAAATAAGATGAAAGGGATTAATGCACAGGCTAAATTGTAAAAGCAATGATGAGATGTAGTTAATTTCTCACTGTAAAATACTCAGTTGTTATAAGGATATGCAGTTGAGTAAAGAGGATTGGTGCATCCACTAAGAAGTTCAAACAATTTTATAATAAAATACTCAGTTTCTGCTACTAATAGGCTTTAAACCAACTTAACCATATAAAATGGAGCGTTCGCCAAGCACTGACAGTCACAATGGCTAACCTGCAGAGGGCAGAGTTCATCTTGTCTCAGAGAGGAAGAAGACAGGTACCACATGATGGCCACAAGTAGCGATTGAATGTTATGAGGCAAGAAGCCACACACTGGAAGTGCGTCATAGATAAATGTCAAGGTTAATGCCGTACCACTGGCGACCACATATCTTTCGTCACAGAACACAACCACCCTCCTCTGGTGAATGAAGAAGAGACCAGACTCCTCACCAGACTGAGACAACGTGTTCGTGATGAAGTGAGACATGACATCCGCACAAGTAAACTTCCTTAACACTGATGTGATATGATGTTATATGATGTGACGTGATGTGAATATCATCGTGATCGGAAAATGGCAAATAGCAGAGTAAATAAATAACAGACAAATAACAGATATATATTCTTTTAAAAAAGATCTTTTTGTCCTTCAACTACTTCAACAAGAAGAGTCCACTTTTAGATCATAGGGGTGCCACTAGTTTACCATTGCGTAATCAACAGTCAACAGACCGTGAAATGTTGCTTTAAAACTGTAGGCGAATTGGGATGTAGGCGAAATGAGAACATGCCGTCCGGCGCGAACATGCCCAGATCAGTTAAGTGACACATAATTTAGGTATATTTGCTATTAGCTCAATATGTCTCCTTTGAAACAAACATGGAATGGGAGATATGTTTACCGAGGTCACATTTAGCTCCACCGTAGCCAGCATTACAAGTACAGACTTCTTCAGGAGGATCCGATGAATCAGGTGCACATGTCCCTTTGCCATTACATGGATCAGGTAGGCATGGATCATCTGAAATATATTGCTGACCGTTACATGTTAAACCTCATTTGACATCATCATGAATCTGTGGTGTTGGGGTACTGTAGTGTAATGGTTATAGCGTCTACCGTCCCGTTGAAGACCAGCGTTCTATTCCCACATGGGTACCATATGTGAAGCCCATATCTGGTTTCCCCCGCCGTGGTATTGCTGGAACTTTGCTCGAATAGTTAAAAAAACCCATAAAATATACAAAGCAGTATGTGTCTTCAGATTTCCTTTTTTTATTGTCTAGTTGATGCATGACAAATTTACTATCGAAACTTCGATTTGACGTCCCACTAGATTTGATTAAGTTATTTTTGTGCACATATATAATTGTACTTTGATAGTTTTCTATATCCACCTATTGTTTGTTGTGCTATTCGTTGCCTTAATATTACTGTCAGTGTTTAATGCTCTGTGTGCTTTATCATTTTACGTCCATTTTCAAAATATATGTGTGCACTTGAAAGAGGAAAAATACATTTCTATTATCATAAAACAATCTACTAGAAAATACATGATTCTGATTATGACTTGAGCATTTGTATGTGAATCCCTATAAAACAATGACGAGACCAGGGGATGGCGGTAAGGTCTGACAAGTTTGACACAAAAGTACACAAACAAGAACAAGTGTTTCAGCATTACTTTTTTTCCTTGACATTTTTAATCGCGCGTGGTGGTGATAGTTTTAATTCCAAGCGATGACCTAAAACAAACTTTCCAGATTTCATTTTCTTTCTGATTAATGTCATGAAAGTTAATAAAAATAGATATGAGTTACCATATTCACACAAGTCACCAATGAAACCAGTGTTGCAGGTGCACGTGTAATCCGTTTCACAGGTTCCTTGTCCACTGCATGTAGAGTCTCCACTGCAATCAGCCATACTGAGTGTCCCGCACATGGTTGCGACAACACCTGGAAGAGAATAATATGTTTGGTCATTTTAAGAACGGACGTTATGTAGTTGCATTCTGTTTTGGGGGTATTCTATAGCAATTATCAGTCGAGTCTGAAACTGTCAAAAGTATTTCTACAAGATGACTTTGGTAAACATGAAAAACACTGAACCTTCTCTTCCCAGGAACACTCAGAGAGTAATTGCACGTTTTTTCCTTTTTTATGCTTGAATCATAGCCCTAAACTGAGATTAAAGACCACAAGTTACAAAATACAAAATACTGAAAAGACAATACATTTATTAAGTTTTATGTGAATAGTTTAGTAAATAACAAGGATTTATTTCATATTTACTCCAGCTTGTATACATCACGTGTAACATTAGTTAATACATCGAGCGCAAGCTAAGATTATTTTTCTTAAAGTCAAATAACATATATACGACGTATATGACAAGCGTCACTTACCCAGAAGCAAAACCGTTTGTGTAAGAGCTTTCATGTTTGTCAGCGCCGTTCTGTCCTCTCTAAGACCGCTAAACGTCTAGATTCGGTTGCGCTTGTCTTTTATATAGGGGGATGTCATAGCGACCGATGTTGATTTTTGTGTTCGCCACAGGTGCGCAAGGTGCTACGAAACGTTTGAGTGATATGTTTTTTCTATAAGTCAAATACCCATATGTCTGCCTACTCATGACATCATCATACTGGCAGACACTGTTGTGTGGTGACTGTGCATGTTTACTACTCAGACGTGAAGGTTTCACCATATTTCAACGTTGTTGATGGCCGAAGCTCTATACTATAAATTTCAATTGTAGTAGGGGCGGTGGGGTAGCCTAATGGTTAAAGCGTTGGCTCGTCACGCCGAAGACCCGGGTTCGAATCCCAAAAATGGGAACAATGTGTGAAGCCCATATCTGGTGTCCCCCGCCGTGATGTTGTCGGAATATTGCTAAAAGCGGCGTAAAACCAAACTCAGTCAGTCAGTCAGTCAATTATAGTACTTTAACTCACGAGCAACAGAATATACCGATAACTAAAATAGCATAGGGAAAAGGATAGTTGGTCAGCAAAGCTTCGTAGCTGAATGAACAATATCAATATTTTCACATGGGAGGGTTACTGTCACTAATCCTACCAAGTATACCGAACTCTGCTATATAAACTATGAAATGAAGGAAACAAATAACTTGAGAACACTTTTGTCATAGAAAACCCACAGCTATTCTCAAGGTGTTCAGCTATGCATCACGTCTTTTGATATATACTACCCATCAAAAGTTTAGACTCACTAGTGTAAATGTAGCCACTTACTTCAGTCAACCGTTATTTAGATTTTGCAAAATATTCCATACTGTTTAAAGGTATTGTTTACACATGAACTGATGTATTGTAATACAAATTCGTAATGTTGAAAAGATTACTGTCACGAGTTCAATAAATGATCAAACTCAATGACAATTGACGAATTCTTAACTAAACGTTTACACCAAAACGTAGTAGTTCACATGTACGATATTTGCACATGCTTTCAGCAATTCGATGCATGATCCTCGTGCATTCATCTACATAAGGTTTGCAGTTGGTTCCCTCAAGTTTGTGGAGAAATTCATCTTCGATGTAACCATATGTGTACACATAACATATAGTGAGTGTTTTAAGTGAGTCTAAACTTTTGATAGGTAGTATACATGTGACTGCAGAAACTACAAACACTATGTACAACTGAGAAGAATCTTACAATGCATTTTCTTTCATGAGTGACAAGCGAATATTAAAGTTCACTACAAGTCTTCTCAAAATCCGTATATATTTTCAATAGAGAACATTTTAGATGACCTTTATATTTTAACAGTGTAGTAACAAGTGTAAAGATTTTGGACAGTAATTCTAAAAACATTGAATTTGTATTAAAGCATGACCATTCATATTGTTCAGGGATAGTGTTATGGCCATATGATTGTAATAAGCTTATCTGAATTACTTAATTATTTCATTATTATACTTAGTTTTCAAACTGTGATCTCAAGTGTGACGTATGGTCAGACAACTGATTAAGCTCGGCATATACGTTTTCCTTCAGTGTGACTACTTCATTCCAGATGTATCTGAGTTCAGAGTTTACTGCATTGTGTCTGTACACTTGCACAGATTGCATTAAGTTTTCATTATGTTTTTCCACTTTCAATCTTATTCTTTCAAAACTCGAAAATTCGTGAAAGTAACGGAAATTAAAACCACATGAAATAAGTAACGAATTTTTGATAATGTGGATATTTACGTTTCCTATCATGCTCTTGTTTAATTGGAATATCCATCTATTATGTATTATGAAGTTTAGACTGGTACTTGTTCATGGAACATTTAATCAATATTCGTTGTTAACATAACCATAAGGTCTATATGTACGACCTGTAATTTTGCAGTGAAATTACGTTTGACAACTTTTATCAGTGTTTGGGCTTGACCTTGCCCTATCCCATTTGTCTGAGAGGCATGTAAAGATTCACCCATACATCTTATCCATACTTCTAATGTCCATCTTTATCAACAATTCTGAAACAGCATATTATTAATGATACTTCTGAAATGGTTTTGGGGGTTCGGTTGACGTGATTAACTGAGACATGGCGACGTATCTGCTTAAGAAATCTAGCCACGGCTATTAAACAAGTATTTACAGTCTTGAGGTAACCTTCTTCCTTCTTCAAGAGCTAATCTAAACTTACTGATGGTTATTCCGTTATTATCATGTACATGTCTTCCTTTGTGGTTGCTAAGGAAGAATTGAACACAAACCAACAATTGACAGTTAGGTAGTAGACTCTATTGTACATGCGTATATAGGAATCTTAAGTTAAAAATAAGATATATCAGACATTACTTGTTCCGTGAATCCGAGGTCCTTGTTGTCCTACACCAATGTACATATGGCTCACAAAAGTACCAGTTTATGCATTATGTGAGTATCTATATGCTTATATGAGTTCTTTACAAACTGAACTGGCAGTCAAAGCATATGCATTTGGATACCTAATGATATTATATACTGATCACCTTTCAATTATGGATAGAATATGTTATTGTGTACAGTACATGGCTTTTTTGTAAACAAATACAGACATACTATTAAGTGCCGTCAAGAAAAGAAACGAAGCATGGACTTGGACCCTGAAACATCAAATGATTCGAGGTATTGATCTCTCAACAGCCCAATATCTGTTGTGTGTAAAACCAAATGAAAATCCTGTCAACAAAGAGTTCTGTAAACGGCAGAATTGACATTTTAAATAACATTGAAGTCCTTTAACATTGAATTACACATTTTCTTTGAGAGGGAAATGCATGGGGTCTGGACTGAAACCCCTATAGATGCAATGAACGTCTGTCTATTCTCAACACCAGTTGGCCTTTTCACAGTCATGTGAGTACGTGTCACCAGCATTGCCGTGGCAAGAAACCCCCTCTAAGACGTTTCTTAAGACCTATTCTCCACAGGCGGTCCCCGTTGGTAAATATGTCATGATCGTGGTGCCTAGCCTTGATTTATGGTCGGTGTCCACAGACACATGTCAATATGAACACTTAGTACTGAACAAGTGGTGAAAGACAGGTGGTATAGTTGTCACAGTTGGTGAAGTACCTAGAACCTTCTACAGAGGTACATGTTACAGATGCCATTTTGAGGAACGTAAGAGGTTAGTGAAGATGCGAGTATTTAAAACAAAATACAAGACACAATTGTTCTTGACCACCAATCATGTCACAGCTATATCAATTCAAAAGGCAAGCATATCCTTTTATGGACATTTTGCAAATCCAGATTCAATTCGTCTGTCATACAGGGCTGTTCATAGCATATGTCTTTAACTTGGAATGATGTGTATAAATTATCTCAATACCGCTTACAAATTATTACATACAGAGTGGTGTTCAACTATTATTATGAGTAAAAGGAACATACATGAAACTCGCGACAGCTACATACCCGTATCAACACTTAGAATGATGTCTCGAAACGATAGCTTTATGGTGCATATATAGTGTCATATTTTACATATGCTGCAATTAACATAACAATACAGTGTTGTTGTAAACTGTATTGATGAGTAAAAGGAGCATAACTGCCTCACGTTAATTTACATGTTCGAAAACTATGCTTACACTTCGACATGGAGAACGTGACACAAAGCATTAGTGGGTGCAGACTCAACTTATAAAATCAAGTATCAAGCCAAGGAGGCATTAAGGTGCACTTCAGATAAATCAAATAAACGATTGTCAAAGACCTCAGTGCATCGGTTCAAAATTTATTGCAGTGAAACGGAGATTACAGGCCTTAGTTTTATAATGTCATGTGATTATCCGTGCACGATGTAATTCAGAAACGATAATAAAACATTCTTAGTACGACACAACTAATCTCCAGGTACTTAGCAAAATCGAAGTTATCTGTCCAGTGTTACAATCTTGTGAGTCATGGCTTAACTGTGAGAGAGTAGTGGCGTGAAGGAATAGTGTATTGATAACAATTAGTCCAAATCACATAAGAAAATTATTTACAATACCTACAGTTAATTACTGGTAATGGTAAAAATGAACACACAAATCTAAATGTAAACAAAGACCATATCAGCATGACTGTATTACTCAAATAACAGAACTGGAGGGGGATATATAGGAAATGTCTCCAGTACTATCATTATATTCGGATTCTTTAGCGGCAATACGGTAGGCTAATGGTGGCACATTGGTAGCATCAATCTTATGTCGAAATGTTTCCTTATTCAATTATTTGTTATGACATTTCAAATGTTATCTCGACTGTTTGTGTACTTTCTCGTAATTTCAATCATTCTGCAGGTATTTCAAGTTTATTTGCAAACTCAAAACTTCGAGAAAACAATTGAAGTTACGAAAAATAGTCATAGGTGAAAACTTTCAATTTTAATAAATATTATCATAATGAGAAAGTAATTGAAATTACGAGAAAATAATGAATTTTTATAGACTCGAAACACCTAAAAATAATCGGGATTACACAAAATATAATTGATGTAACAGGACAAAACTTTTAAGTTTAGAAAACTATACAACTGTTTGTAATAACGAGAGATGTGAAAGAAAAAAAGATGATCTTGTTGTCCAAAACCTTGATTTTAAAGGATGTACTTGCAACTATTCAGAAGCTAAATCTTACGAATCAGCAATGCAATAGAGGGCATGTTTGTCCCTTTCTGAATATGACAAGCCCTTGTTCATGTACTGAACACCTATGTGTTACAGAAGGCATGTTGAGACCTATGACAAGATTATTACAGTATTAAAACAGCATACAAGACACAATCGTTGGTAACTCATCTCATCATGGTTCAGGCTGAACTTAACTAAAATACCACACGACTAAAGATGCTTATTATAAAAATGATTATTGTATCACCAAAACAAATTTATTTGTGTCATGCTTTGATCAGTATGTTGACATTGGAAATATTTAAATAAACAAATATATAGGCGCATT